TGTTGTGCTACTCTTCTATGGACTTGAGACAAGAGCTTCTTATACACAATTTCATTTTGTGTTTCACCCTAATCCTTAAGTAGAGCTCATAGATTATTTTCTAAATTGATGGATCTCAACACGATGTTCCTTTAATCTTGTATAGCCGTATTCAGTTCCACCATATTATACAAGTCAGAGACTTATCTTGAGTGGATTGTTGATTCTCGTCTCGTCTTAATATTTTCATTAAACGTTCGTGATTTTAAAAAAATAAAAAAATAAATAAAATTATTAACCCTTCTATAAAATTGGTCATTTTTTACTATACTCACTTTCAACCACATCCCATCCTAATATTTTCATAAAATGTTCGTGATTTCAAAATAAAAAATGTATTCAACCTTTCTTAGAAATCGATCACTTTTTTCCCCGTACTTATTTCAACCATACACCCCCATCTTAATATTTTCATAAACGTTCGTGATTCAAAAATATGTATTAAACTCTTCTTGGAAATCGGTCACTTTTTCCGTACTCATTTTCAACCACACACCCCCGTGACATTTTAACCCCCAAAATCAAGAGAAAAATATAATTCAATAAGTGGTAGCCATTAAAGAAAAGACTACTTTCTTCAGGAACCATGTGGTAGGCACATGGAACACAATACAGCTGATTAACTTAATGTTTCTTCTTTCTATCCTCTCCAACGTTTAGGAACTTCAATCCAGCATAACAAATGTGCCAATTTCTGTATTCAAATTACTTATTTTCTTCAGTAAAAATAATGATACAGCAAATCGAATCCACAAAACTCGACATGAAAGCTTCAAGAAACTGTAGACTTGTACGAGAGATCCTTTAGCTGCTCAGGATCGACCTCAGAAGGCGCACGAGTAAGGGCACATTGGGCAGTAGTTGTCTTTGGGAAAGCTATAACATCCCTAATGGAGTGAGCACCTGCCAACAGCATTACCAGCCTATCTAACCCATAAGCAATTCCCCCTGCACATTCAAAAAGCTTCCTTCTCAAGTAAAAATCCATAAATGTGGGTGATTCATGAAATATACTGGTAATTTACAGTATATTTCTTCAGTTAATTCTAGGTTATTTTCTAACAAAAAAAAAATTGTAAGGCAGTACATAAACGTGCAAAAATTCGACGACAAAAATGTAGTGTCCATTTTGGTTATTTTCATAGCAAAGAGCGATTTCAAGCACTTCATCTGCTCACACAGCAAGTAAATGTATTTCAGAAAACATAAGTTGTTTAATTTTAAAATAAGCACTATTCACTTGTAAGCACAAAAATAGGCTTAATAATGCATGCTGACAAGTAATTTTAGCAATCTAAAAATCCGATTAGTGAACTGAAATGATTATGATGTAGGTAGAGATTAATAAATGGCAATAACAAGTGCTTATCAATCAGGAAAGAATTGAGAAACATTGCCCAATATGCTTAGCATAAACACAGCTGTTTTATTCCTACCTTATTCTTTATGGTTGTTACTGTCAAATACACTCAATAAAAGACTTGATGCCCCTCTTTGTGAGTGGTTCTCTCATTAAGTAGGACTAAATTAACAACTAAATATGGAAGCAATCAATTACAATATTAATTAATAGTAAAAACAATCTATTTATATCTAATACAATTATAATAATATAATCGTAATCTTTGACGATTTTCGAAATCTTAATCAATTTTCGACGATCTCCGTAATCTTATTTAATCTCATTGAAATCCTCCCCACCCCCCCCCCCCACCCAAATTG